TGCTCCTTCCGCCAAAGTACCCAGCGTCTTTGAGACCCGGATGCGGAAGTCCGGACTCACCACGTGCTCCCATTCCCCCACCCCTCCACCCCCACCCCCCCGTCACGACCTTCCAGGACTGACCCTGTGCTGGGGTCCAGGGTCCCTCAATCCTCCCTCTGCTTAGTCACCATAAGGCGCAGCAGGACCTGAGGCCGCCCCTCTGCCGAGCTCAGGGAGGCCCTGCTCCTTCCGCCAAAGTACCCAGCGTCTTTGAGACCCGGATGCGGAAGTCCGGACTCACCACGTGTTCCCATCCCCCCCACGGACCTTCCCTGACTGATGCAGTGCTGGGGTCCAGGGTCGCTCAGTCGTCCCTCAGCACCCTCAGCGTGAACCCCAGCAGGACCGGGGCCCGCCCCTCTGCCCACCCGAGGGAGCCCCTGCCCCTTCTGCCAAGGCCCCTAGTCTCTCGGGAGACCCGGATGCACCAGTCCTGCCGCACTGGCCGCGTGGCCCCCTCCCGCCCAGCGGCCTTCCCGGACTCACCCTGGGGCCCGACCTCGGTGAGGTCCCCTGTGTCCGGGGCTCCTGAGTCCCTCGGTCCTGCCCCCGATCGAACTCCACCCCGGCCCCACTCGGACTCCCTGGGGCTGCCTGTGCCCCTGCCCCTTCCCGACCTGGCACCCTTCCCCTCTGACCCAGGTCCTTAGCTCCCTCAGAGCCCCGACGCGCCTTTCACCGGACGGACGCCCCCTGTGGCCGCCCTCCCCGCTGGCGCCCCCAGGGCCGGGCCGCGGCAGGGCCCGAGTGGCGGGACCTGAGCGGGGCACAGTGGCCCCCACAGTCCTCCCTCTGCCCCCCGAATCCGCTCCAGGGAGGGCCCGGGCCCGTCCATCTGGGGCCCCGGGTCCAGTGCCCCGGGCCCCGGCGGGAGGGGCTCAGCGGGACGACGCTGTCCCTTGCCGGGGTCTCTCGGGGCTGCCGGCATGGGCGACCTGGCTCCTGGGGGTCCCCCGCACTCTGTGCTCCCTCACGGGTGCGTCTACCCGCACGCCTGGCCTCTCCCGACCGCGATCCGGCCTCCCACTCACGGAGGTCCTGGCGTCTCTCAGGCCTCCGAGGCGGAAGTGGGCGCTCGTCACATCCGGACCCCATCGGAAGGGGTCCCTTACGGCTGCCAGCACGTCGGGGGAGATGGGTTCTGGGGTGGGCTACGTGGGGGCAGGAGAGGGGAGCGGGCAGGCCGGGGGTCCCTCGGTCCTCCCTGGGCTCCTCACCTGGACTCTGGTAGGATGGAGCCCCCGCACTCTGCAGCCCCGAGTCTGTGCCCCTTAGACCAAGGCTCTCAGGCTCCGACATCCTTGAGCACTTGAGGGATGGTTTGTGGGGCTTTTGCCTCACCTGCTCACAGGGTCCAGGGTCTCACAGGGCCGCTGGCAGGGACACAGCAGGCTTCGGTGCCCCCAGTGTTCTGGGACATGTGACCTCTCAGTCCTCACCCAGGAGGCCCTCCTCTACCCTTGTGTGACACACACAGTCATGGGACACATGA